GCTCCAGATCGCTTTTTTTGATGCATTCGATATCTTCCAGACCGTGGCACTCCGTCCGGATGGGACGCATTTGCAATGTAATTACCCAAGTGGTGAGACACCACATCCAGGAGCATGTGAACCAGTGGCAATTCTAAGTTCCACCGAAAACATCGGAACACCAGCAGTCTGATTGTGCAGTCTGATTGGCTCGCAGGTATATAAGCGTAATTTACCCGCTGACATAGGCAGCGATATTTGAGCGTGTGCGTGCAGTGCAAATCAATTTGGGCGTTGTTCAACAAAGCTAAAGAATGTGCTTCCAGTGGTGTGCCCGTTGAGCTTTGCCAGGGCCGGGTTGACTTAAGACGTATTTGTCAAGAAACAGACCAAATGCACGTGCCTCGACTTAGCGCGACGTGCATTGACAAACCGACTCCCGCCTGGGCTGACGTGCTCGAGGTGCACCCAGGTCAGGGGCCACATTGTTGGACCGTGCCATGACCGGTTTGAGTTCCAAAAAAGAATCCTTGGGGCACCACTCCCACACAAGTGCACACCATCATCTTTCAACGTAGTTGTTGCATGTTGTTGCACATTCGAATCGCAGGTGAACGTATCTGACCCGTCGAGAGGTCGTCGTGCCATCGTTTCCGACGGATCCCGCTGGCCCTCCAGGCTGCTGAAGGAAGGCTCTTTGGGAGTTGCTGCGCGGCTTTGCGACCGTCAAGCTGAAGACTGGCTCCTCAGCAGAAGGTTTAGCATTGACGGAGGCAGCGTTGCTTCCAAAGTCCGTTTGAATTTATATATACTGTAATTGAATTTATCATAATTTACCTAAATAGCTCGCTGCTCTAAGATTCTAGATGTCCATTTGCCTGAGCAGAAAGAGAGGAAATTCATCAACAGCGGGAGCGGAGGGTGTTCAGGATTAATTGAATACCAGGATCATCCAATGGGTGTCCAATAGACTACCCTACCCTACTGACAGGTCTCCAGACAGGGCACCCATTGGAAGTGCTGGGTATCTCTTAAGCCGTTTGTTGAGGGGCCCTTCAAAGTTTGCCGACTTTGCCTTCTTCAGCTACTCATGTCTTACGTTGGTTTAGCCCCTTGGACCCGGGTGGGACCCCCTTGGACCCTGCAAACTCTGTGTGGTGGTGGAGCAATCCGGTGGATGGTGAGAGGGAAGGACCCGGTAAGAAGGAGACGGGTTCCGTTGGCGTAACGGAGAGTCAAATGCTCAGCTTCCAATGAGCGCCGAAGTCGGAAGTCGGAAGTAGCCTTCTATCATCCCACGTCCCTGAGTGATAGGACAGAAGCAGACCATGAATTTGCAGCAACATCATCTAATACACAAGTGGTCCCTAAACGGGGTCGCATCAAAGTCTAAAATCCCGAGTTTGACCAATGTCCCGTACATGCTTAGATCATCAAGGACCAGGAGAACTCGTGAGCTAATGTTGAATCCCCGACTTTCAGGTAGAGGCTAAGAAGCACAAACACATTAAACTATACCAAAAAACATATAACAATACAACCATGAAATGCAATTTTTTTGCCTGATTCTACGTCCTAACTGGCCCTGGTTCCCAAACAACATACTCAAATGGGGGCCATAATGCAAATAGCACCCACCAAGCCAATTGAATTTGGAGTCACGTTGTCCCTTTGATGTGTTGTCAAGAAGCATTTTCGCGAATTTGCAGTTTTTTTTGGCATTGTGGCAAAAAAAGAAGCAACGGCAGAATCAGCAAGCACCCTCGACGACGCGTCAGCAAAGCGAAAAAAAAATGGTTTTGCAACCCGTTTCGGCAAATGTTGTATTTGTTTGTGGGTCGTAGTTCTACTTTTTAGTTTTTTCGCGGTCGTAATCTTCTTTTTGTATTTTTGTTGTAGTTGTTTGTTTTTTGCAGTCTTTTTGTGCATGTTTTGTATTTTTGAAAAATGTCAGTTCCGGGTTGTATTTTTGTATTTTTCTTAAAAAAATAAGCCTTGTATTTTAAGTTGTATTTTACAAATGTTCAGCTTCGAACTGCGAACCGGCAAAACCCACCGGCAAATTTTTGTTGACAACCAGCGAAACGTTGTCAGGCTACCCGGCAACCACGAGAGGCTGCTCCAAAACACAACGGGGCCAGCTTTCCATCCCACACATATCAATGCGTATCAAGTGGCAATTTACGTGATTATTGCTTGCAGTTTTGTTTTTTTGGGGGTTGCATTTTTGAAAAATACAAAAGTTCAAAAGTGCATGTTTAAACATATAACTGGTGAATTCGCATTTTCCAGTCGTAGTTGTTTATATACTGTTAACTATTTGAATGCTTATAGGCTGTACCTGGAACCGGGGAACCAAAGCTAGTGTCAGCGACAGTCAGGACGCTGTTTCTTCCTTCGCTCCTCCAATCAACCTCCGACCGAGGAACCCAACTCCACCTTCCATTTCGTTCATGCTGTCGGCACCCATCTCCCCAACATGGGCCCAATCATGAGGTCAGAGCGCTGGTTTCTGCGTGGTCTTATTCATGATGTTGCTCACGAGCATGAGAAAGTCGAAGAATGCATGCGCCGTGCAGTGGAGCTGGATCCAGACAGGGCAGATGCTTGGTGCCTTGTATGTACTGGCCCGTTCTGTCCAGAGGTGTGAATGCTCCAATTCCACTAGGAACTTCCAGCCATCTAGATTGAAGCAAGTAGAAGGCCAAGAAAGCCCACAACCAAGTCCCAATTTCGTCGCGACTTTAGACACTGGAAGGCTCTTCCTTGCAGAGACAAGCTACCGTGCTGGAGACTATGAAGCTTGGCCGCTTTGCTAACCACCGATCCAACCAACTGACAAACTAGCTCTCTCTCTCTCTCCCTCTCTCTTTGTGTTGATTTCGGCATCCCATATCACCTGTAAACAAACTGAACAAGCAGCGACAAAGCGGCTGGGTTTCAGGCTCAAGGTCATAAATAGAAGTGGAAGTGTTGGATTTGCTCACTTGAGAGGCCCAACAGAGGGGTGGGCATGGGATGGTATACTTGCCCTTCTGATAGACACAAGTTCCCAAATAGAGACAACTTCCCAATCAGATTATATTATATAAAGGAATCTTTTGAATCAGATAATGGTTCCGGCACTTGCGCTGTCATCAACCTGAACTGGCTGTTTGTCGCACGTCGCCGAGGAGACGAGTTTTGCTGCCTTCGACCGGGTTTGCGAACTGGCCCCAGAAAGCTTGGCAGCGCAGCAGGCGCCCAGGGCACACAGGTGTCGTGTTTGTAGAGTTGAAAACAGGATGTTTCTTTCAGAGTCACCTCCGAAAGTGTTCTGTTGAGGTTTTAAATCCCAAATGCCTCACAGAATTCCTGCCGAAACTCCGAAAAGACTCGCGTCTCGTGTCTCGTGTCTCGTGTCTCGTCCGGATCCGTCGGACCCGGTCTGGACTGCCGATCAGCTGGGGTGGTTGACTGGGGGTCTTTCTGGGGCAGTCCGTCCTGGCAGTCCCAGACAGGTCGTGTTTGGGTACGGAGAGGACGGAACTGGAGGCCGAAGTCTTTGACTCCACGGTGCTGCGAGTCGAAGTGGAAGTGGGTCGGGACCAGGTTCATCCCCCCTGTTCGTGAAGGAATCGTCCAAAATCGGGACCATGCCATCCACTTCCATGTTATGAGTTCATTCTTGAGCTCTTGGCATGCAAAGGATATATTTTACAGAAACACATCGGAAAAAACAATTGTAAGGTATTATTGTCGCAGGTACTATGAAAAATGTACACATTCTGTTACCCACCAAGGTTTGGTGGATGATTTTGCTCCCCACAGTTTTTCCCTGGGAAAAGTTCCCAGAGCTGCTTGTGGCTTGTGCGTAATTCACACAGGGCAGCACCGGGGCTGGTCACAATCCCAAGGGGGGCACTCACGAACGTGGCAGACCCACCCTGTCACCAGGCCGAAGTCGATCGCCGACTGCTGAGCCGGAACCTTCGCTGCGTCCTCATGACCAGGTGGGGGACGGGGAGTGCATCGGCATGCCGTGAGAGCGGAGGGGGGTGCATCGGCTTCGAGTTGGGCAGATTTTTGAGGGCACTTAGACTCGGGTGCTTTCAGCAGCATCTAGCCTTGACGTTCATGCTTCAATGCCAATTCGTTATTCATTGCATCCAGTCGCGTGCGAGAGCCTATGGCGGCCTGGCACGAAGGGGAAAAGAGGGTGGACAATTGGGAATTCCTCATTCGGTGCTTACAGTGCTCAACATCCTCTCATCGACTTACTTCTTTCTGGGTGCCACCAGCAAGTTTCGGATCATTTCTTGGAGAGACTGTCTCGTTTCTTCAGAGCCACGAGCCAGAGGCCACTTGTCCACCCGGGAGGTCACGGGATTCACAGCGCCCAGAATAGATATAAACTATTCATAATTGTACTTAGTCCCTGATCTAAAAGTCGGACAATTATCCAGGAACATATCTTTGTCCAATAAAAATGGAGCCCACGAACCCGAATGCAAACACGTTCGAAAACTACATATGTCCAAATGACACTCTTGTAGGACACTCTTGTTGGTCACTGTGTAGGAAACTCTTTTGGGACACTGTCGGACACTCTTCTGGGACACTCTTGTGGGTCACTCTTACGGGACACTCTTGCAGGACACTCTTCTCTTGTAGGACACTCTTGTGGGATCTTGTGGGTCACTCTTACGGGACACTCTTGTAGGACACTCTTGTGGGACACTCTTACTGGACACTCTTGTAGGAAAACTCCTGTGGGACACTCTTATGAGACACACTTGTGGTGGGACACTCTTGCGGGACACTCTTCTATACACTCTTGTGGGACGCTCTTGTCGCTCACCAGCCGCATGCCGCGTTTACACCGGCATCTTTCGCGGCACGCTTCGCGCTCCCCAGTGGCACGGCGCCAGTCAAACGCACTTCCGACCAAGGCCGCGCAAATCCGCATGGCACTGCGACATCACGAACGCAACTTCGCCACTAGAAGCAAACATATCACACGATACCACCAATCATCCCGCTCACCAGCGATACGCCGCGCTTACACCAGCACCCCAGTGGCACGGCGCCACGCAAACGCACTTCCCGCCAAGGCCGCGCAAATCCGCATGGCACTGCGACATCACGAACGTAACTTCGCCACACGGTCCGCCACACACTAGAAGCAAACATATCACATCACACCACCAATCAGACCGCTCACCAGCGACACGCCGCGTTTACGGCAGCATGTTTCGCGCTCCCCAGTGGCACGGCGCCACGCAAACGCACTTTCCACCAAGGCCATGCAAATCCGCAGGGCACAGGCGAGGCTTCGAGTCACGCTTCGAGTCTGCAAAACGAGCGTTTCGTACGAGACGTCCTCCAAAAATCACGCGTACACAGTCTCCATAACATGTCGTACGAGACTTCTTCCACCAAAAGTCACACGCCAAGTCTCCAAAACGAGCGTTTGGTACGAGACTGACGAGACTTCCTCAAAAACTCACATGTCAAAGTCTGCAAAACGAACGTTTCGTACTTGTCACGAAAGGGGAGCTTCGATGCAACACCCTGAAACGCAAACCCCAATGGCACGGCCACATCCAACACCCCAAAAGCACAACTCTCCAAACGCTAATCCAATGGAACTGCGCAGAAAACTGCAGATCTCACAAAACGCTGCGCCTGCGCAGTGAAATCCTCCTCCACACTTCTGTCAACATCTTACATTTCCACACGTTTCCACGCTAATTCCAACGAATCTGACACGTCACGTTTCCATCCGAAACCCTCTCCAAAAGCTTTTTTTTGAATGGCAGTCTCTTAGCGCCCTACCGTGGACGGTTGCGGACGCTGAGACAACATGTTTCCGCACTGCTGCAGCCCTCGTACCTGCCAGGAACATTTGGAGCCAGGAAGTGGCTGAAAGCTTTGTCAGCCAGGATTTCCGGATGCTGCTGTAGCCACGTCGTGACGTCTCTGGGTCCGAGACAAGCTAGTGGGCCTAGCATGGGCCGGATCCATGAGGATTGTGGCGTGCGTCAAGTTGAAGAATACAATTTTTTTTATAATATATATATATATATGGACCACTAGATACTGCAAATGTTATATTGAGTTATGCATGTTCCCCGAAAGTGCCCCTCGTCGAACATAACTCAAGAAGAGAACAAACAGAGAAGCAGTGATTCTGTTCAGGACGCGCCCTCAGTTGTTTAGTTACAGTATTGAAAAACACCCTTTCTTCAACTTATATGTACCTTGGTTCCAACACAATGGGATTGTTGGGTACCAGCTTCATCCGCTTCTATGTTATATAGTTATAGTTGGTTGTTGCGGGGATGATCACCACAGCTGTCACTGGGAGGGCCGACCCTCCACTGCAGCTTTGGGCGGGTCGGAAGCAACCCTGATCAGTGGCCGACCGAACACCGAACGACACCGTTCTTTGGTTGGCCAATCCAGGATTGGATAGTTCTCACTTATTGCACTACCAGTTCCATGTTGGGGTGCCGAATTGGGCGGGTAGGGGTGCCCAGAACGTCCACTCACTGGATAGGGGTAAAGACCTTTGGGAACTGCTGGTGTCGTTTCATTTCTGTTGTGCCAGGAGCCCGCTCAGCACACGACCTGCCTGCCCCGCGTCTGGGATGATGTGCTCAAGCCTGAACTCTTGGAGCTCTTGCATCGGAGTGTTACCTGGCCCATTTGCGTTTCGGAAGCTGACATTTGGATTGATCAGTTGACATGAAGGACTGTCCTGAGGATCCTGAGGATCTCAAAACCAGACTTTGCTTTCATGTCCATGTTCTCCCAGTGGGTTTTCGGGGCTGTAAACGCATTTCGGGCTGGAGACTGATTGAGGTTTCTAGAGGGCATTTAGAAACATGGTTTCACGCGTCAAGGGATATTTTGCCCGAGATGTGTTGTTGATTGGACGCCTTGTTGACTTCATTGGTTGTTGCACTTGGAGACTCACAAAGATACCAACTCTTATATAAATTGTGTTTTTCTCACGCACACATGATCCACAACCAATAGTTGACTCTAATCTCTTCACAACACTTCGGCGGACAAGAACAAAATTTTGACCGCAGCTCACATAGATGCACATGACAGGCTTGTATATAGCTTGTTGGCTTGTTCATGAATGACATGAGGCAGCCCCCATTGGGCCCATTGGGCAAGCCCAGGTGGATGACATTTGCACTTGGCGGATCAAGAGCCCGCGGAAGCCTGCATTGGGTTTGTTGGGTCAGCTTCAGGATCGACCTTTGACATCAAGAGAGTCAGGCAAATTGGAGCTCCAGAACACAGGTTTGGCCTTACGAACATGAATCCGTCACATCTAACTCGGTGTCAACTTCATTGTTTTTGCATCATGTGGTTGGGGAGCCATACAGGCAATTATATACATGGCGAAGTCTTCCGCTTTGTTGGGAAGACTTGCTAGTTGTTGAGCTCTATTTGTACATGAGTTACGGATGGTATTGCAATTCCCGTTCGCCCTTGACAGAGCTCGTGCTTTATATACTGTATATATATATATATCTCTCTCACAGAGCATTCTTTCCTATGGATGCAAGCACCAGCACAAAGCAGCTGGTCCGTTTTGTTCTGCCTTATCACCAATATACTACTTCCCATCATCTTGACCCTCAGCTGAGGATCCTTGGATCCAAATCATTGCAATTGTATTTTGGAGGTTGAGGCTACAAAGCCAGAGGCATGACATTTTGGGTGGCAGAGGGGTGCACCACCTACATTGAAGCATTTTGGTTGACGATTCCTGTTCGCGGTATAGCTTTTCGCAGTCTTAGAGATTCCTAGGTTTTCCTTGACGAACTCAGTGGGAGCATGCAGCAGGATGTAGAGAGCGATCTGTTGTGTGGACCAGATGAATGCAGGCTCCAAAACCCTATTGTGTTCCTAAAGGCAGCTCAGCAGCCACCCACCATCACCCACCCCTCAAAGGGATTGATTGGGCCACCGGTCTCCAGCAGTGGCATTCAGGGCACCAGCCAAAGCAAGTACTTCGGCGCGACGAACACCGAGGAGCTTGAGCACCTTCTGGCTCCCGCGCGGAAAGGCGCCACGGACGCCTGGCGTAAATTTAATAGACCAAATGGTTGGGCGATGTTGGGTGCAAGTATCGTTTTTTCTTGTTCTTCTAATGTAGACTCTGTATATTATGATGCACTTCCCGTTTGAACTGAAGCAGGGGGGTTGAGTCTGTCGACATTAGTGCACAGTCTGTGCGACGAGCAGGACAGCTGCAGAGGTGGCTGGGCGGCTGCTCCTGCAGCTTCTGGGAGAGGCGGATGAACGATGGCAGATGCTCACAGCGTGAAATCGGATGAGTTGGCTTGTTAGAGTTCCCGAGTTCTGTCTCCAAAACATGTGTTGACACAAATTTCACAAAGGCCATTCTGTTGATCACAAGTTGATCGCCTAGAGGTCCAATTCAGGCGCATTTGCCGTGACAAAACATCTCTGAGCCTGGGTAACCTGGAAGGGATGAGCCCCCAATGCTGGGCTTTGCAGGATGAGAAGGACTACGATGGAATTGAATGGTGGTGCCGAACCCAATGCGCGCGAATGGGTGCTCACTTCCACTACGACACTGCCATTTCCGAGACGCAGCTGCAGGGATTTTGTGACAGGCTTGACATGTAAACGCTCCAACATGTTTCGACAAACGGACCACAAGGACGTGCAAAAGCACTTTTTGGCAGAGGAGAATGCTTGTGCAAGGGTCCCCTGCCCTTGTGTTTCCTTCCATGTGATGTGACGTTCCAACATGTTCAGTTCCATCTACCAGTAGGCATCTGAGTTATGAAATATATGTTCGCTTCTGTACCTCAATCTGCAAGGATGCTTGCCTCGTTGAAGAGACATGTCCGCGGTTGTTTTGCTCGATACAGGGGTTTCTTTGGCTTGGGTTCCAGGGCAGCGATTAGAGACAGATTTATATACAATGCAGACTCCAAATGAAGGGGTGCTACTGCCAATGTGTCAAAGCCTCCATTCATGTTGTTCATCATGTTATTTTATTACATTATGCTACAGTTGCTTGGCAAGTTTAAATGTAGAATTTGTATGCCACTGTAAGGTTATATTCCACGTGCTTCACCATGTTTCGCAAGATGTTCTTTTGAACATCCCTGTCGCTCGGCTGTTTCTCCCAGGACGCCCCCGAGAAAGTAGTAGTAGTCGTGCCCCCCCTCGTCGAATCCAGAAAGAAGGATCCTGTGCTACGAGGGCCTCAATGAAGGATCCTGTGCTACGACGGCC